ATGATGATGATGATGATGATGATGATGATGATGATGATGATGATGATGATGATGAATAGAGAGGTCCGTGGTTTGCTCGTTGACGGAAACCTCTCCGGTTTGCTCAGGTCAACTTACATGAATTTTTCTCAGGAGATTCACAACCGGAGCTTTCGGCTAGCCAAAGCCTGGTCGCAAAGCAGCATAGCGATGAAATTACGACGATTTGCTGGGAGTCAGTGTTCATTTGATCGAGCGTACGTTCTTTAGGATAGCGTCAGACGTCCAAGATGCTTAATCCAACCGGTGATCAGTGCCAAAACCAATCCGGTTCTTCTTGTCTGTTTTGGAATCACAGTTTTTTACTAACTCCCCTAGATGGACATCCAGTGATTCACCAATTCGCTTACAGTCTCGGATGTTGGCTTTTGGTCCTCTCGTTTTGGTGGGGTCAAACCTCCTCCACCTGAAGGCAGACAGAAGGGCTTCCGCAAACACAAGCTTTTTGAGACGTTTGAGATTATGAGAGCATTTCACAGTAGGCACGGATAAAGTGATCAGTCTGAAACCGAGACACACACACACCACTGACCATACTGAAGTTTCCGAATGTGTGAAAGAATTCGATCACTCGCAAAACCACCTGACAATTTTTCAGGCAATTGTGCAACACCGTGAAATCAACAAATTCATTTGTTCAAAATGGTACGAAGACAATTGACAGAATTGAATTTGGATTTGTGGTAACTGGTGATAATCAAATCAGGAAAATCATTCATTTCGATGATTGATGGAAATACCAACATACTTGCCGCTTTCATTTTCGCCTATTCAATGCGGTTAGCTATTTTTTGCGAACGTTTTATCACCACACCGTCACGCCTAACCTAGCGGGGCCTTATGTGGTTCACCACTCCAACTCCCGTGGCTTAGATTGCCGGTTTCCGTCACTGAGCAGCAGGTCCTCGTGATTATGGGGTTCGCCCCGTCTACTGTTCATCACACTTAGGTGTGCAATAAAAAAGCCAACCGAGATGGGATCTTCGTTGCTTGTGGAATGGCACTAAGGATATCACATCTGCTGGTGGTGGTTAAACGCTTGCGGACAAATTGCCGATTGCTGGGCAAACAGGCCAGCTGAGCTACAAGAACCGATTCGCAATGCTCTACCAGCACTTGCGTGTGTCGAAACCCGGGAGTATGGCAAGGAGCATTCAGGAGTGAGCGGAAACCCTAAGGATCGGTGGTTGAACTATATCATCCGTTTGTTTTCAGGCGATATAGTCACTGGGATTGATAAACTTTAGCTTGCATAGGGAAAAGAACATCAACCTGAAAATCAGCAGAATCTACTATGCTCATGAATGAGGATCTCCTTTCGGCAAATGGGTTGAATTGGGTTTGTAGCTGAAAATTAATAAAAAATAAATGTTTTTACTTCCATTTTTATATACACTATTATATACAGTCTACTTTCACCAAGAGGACAGCAACCATATGAGGGCTGCCTGGGGAAATGCAGAAATGGGAAGGCGATTGCGGGATTCGAACTCAGATTCTCCCTGACCCCATTTTGATGATCTTAACCACCTGATCAGCGCCGCGCTAAATCACTCATGCTTTTGTTTAAAAACATCGGATCTTAGACTGAAATCAGAACAATTTCTTGGTTCAACGTCCCAAGGTGATCTGGATTATCAAAACTTTCCTCACCGCATTCGGTAGATAAGATGTCCTCTTCTCTTGTCATTTGATATCAGCCTATTCGATTTGGTTCATTGTTTACCCAGCNTCCGGAAGAGGTTTTTCAACTGCTCGCGGGACTGAAATCATGTTGCTTGGAATTAGGTCGTCTGAGTGTAAATCCCCCGTATCCGGTCGACCGACTTGATGCTGGTGACATTTCCGAACCGCCGTATCCGCCTCCGTCTCAAGAATTACCCCGATTGTTCGGTGGGGTGATGCCAGAAATTGAACCGCCTCGAGGACTGCGTGAAATAGAAACAGTTGAAGAAGAGGAGGACAAAGAATCAGTCACGAACGACAATAAATTGCCAAAGGAGGAAGACAAATCGATTGTGGGGGAGCCGAGACCGGAGCACTGCGTTCCAGACGCTTTGTCTGAATCAGCTGAGGATTCGGAAAACAGTTCTGCGATTGCAGCCCTCGTCGAGACACGTGGATCTGGCGTATACCAAATCCGGCAGCTCAGTTTACCTCTAGCACCAGCACCTGCATCAAATGCGCACAGTGTCTCACAGTGGGCACAAGTAGATCCCGCTATCAAGCGACCGTCACTTGGGATTCGTCTTGTCAAAGGCCCCGGAATCAGTGGTCCTGTTGTGGTCCATGTCAAACCAGGCTCACCGGCCTATCATGCAGGACTTAGATTAGGTGACCGGATTTTGGGATTGGATGATTCGTTACTGTTGGCCGTGGCTTCCAATCGGAGCACACCAGAGATTGTGGCCATGATTGAAGAGAAGTGGTTGGCTCATTGCATTGGTTCCGCGAATCAGCCACAGCCTGTTTGTTTGACCGTGATCGGTATGCCACAACAAGCGGAAAATTCGAATCTCTTGAAACGCGCAGCTCCTGAGGCGAATCCCGTTCGTAATGGCTACGCATCGGATCGATCGAGGTCGCATTCGCCCCACGAGAATGGGCATTTGTCATCAAATGCCACACCCGAACGGCATCCATCCCCTGTGAAAGAAGATACGGATCCTGGTGAGTTTTTCTTTTGACTCATTTGCTTCATTTGCACCCCACCATTTGTTTCGTCTCCAATCTAAAATCATGTTATCATGTAACCGTAACGCCAAGATGTTTCTTTTCAGTAATTTGCATCAAGGATTCACATTGGTGCGATGGTAAATTTATAGGTAATAGAGCTACGTTTCGACTGAGCAATGTCATTGCTTCCCTGGTTTTCAATTCATTTGACTACACAGAATGACAATATTATGGAACAGGTTTGTAAACTTATTCATTCCAGGCCAGCAAAACCAGGTGTCAGCTTCGAGGTACGGCGAAATGTCGAGCATTTGACCCTATATGATCGTGGCGACACTAGTTGTTGCATTAGGTTTCACTATTTGCACAGGTCGTTTTTGACTAGCATGTGTGTCTTGCCTTCAGAACAGTTAAGAATTCTCTTACCTAGTCCTTTTGTGGGAAACCTAGATGCTGTCCAGATCACCGTGTGCTCTCTATTGACCGAATGTTGCAGAATTGGGCTGTTCGCATTCCGAACTGTGCCATTTCAGCGAGAAGGCGAAGTGGGTCGCTCTGCTATCTTTTCTAACAGTCGCCTTGTCGCGTGCTCGAGGCACCGAGTACTTCATCTGCTCAAGTGAATTGATTCTGAATGAAGAATTGGTACTGGTATTGTTGGCACACGAGCACCACATCGACGTTCTAATTCTGGACATGATCTCAACATTTATTACCAGGAAAGCTTGACCGATGGCTTTTGTTAGACCTTGCTCGAGAACCTTGGAATACTTATTCCCCGTAATAGGCATAGTCAGCTAGATCGATCTTCTTTCCCTGAACCCTAGGGGTTGGAAAAACTGGCTCCGGATAACCACTTTTGAGTAGTCCCTCTACGTAAATTTTTGCATCTCCATTTCTAGCATCGATGAACTGTAAATGTTGCTGCTTTCTGTACGCGAAATAGCTCGTAACCTTTGATCGATAGATACAACAGTGAGCCACATGATATTGTGATTGCTCACATTGACGTCGTTTGCTGATTTTATCATCCTCGTGTGTGTGTGTGTGTGTGTGTGTGTGTGTGTGTGTGTGTGTGTGTGTGGTCAGTTCGATTGAAAACCACCGATTCAGTCATGTTGACCGAAAACCAATTGTTCACTGTTTGGTCTAGCTTAGTATATAGCTGTAAATGCTTGATGCTAAATTTCGAAAAAGAGAAAGCAATTTTTCATGTTCTCGTGCATCGTCGGAAGGATTTCACAAATGATCAATCTCGTAATACTCATTACCAATCCGATGATTTACGGGTGTTAAACAAACTGGAGCTGCTTATCTGCTGTTCCTGTTTTCTTTTTGCATTCCATGAACTTAAAGCCCCAATTTTTGCTCTCCTATTCTGCATGCTTTCATATCATTTCTTTTTGATCATATGCTGTGTTCTTTTGTGGGTCACATTGCCCACGCGCATCGACGTACTGCGATCGGTCATTATTTTCTTTCTTCCACACCACGATGTGAGTCGACATTCGAGAATAATCGTTCCACGTCTCCACCTGATTTGTGTTGCATCTTCTATGCATTTATTCCCTCTCCCTCGTTTCTCTGGCACTGATGTACTGTAATCAGATTGGATATTACCAGGTGAATGGATTCCTCCAGTTATAAGAATGTCATAGTAAGTAAATAGCACCATTTCACGTTTTCAGTTGTCTTCTGTTCTGTTCCGTTCCCCTTCTTTCGTTTTTCTCCAACTCTGTCGCTCAGCGTGGCTCTATCTCTTCCTGATTACGTTTCCCTTTCGTTTCTCTTTCGTCCAACATGACGAGCTGTTTTTTTTTGGCGCTTGCATCTGATGTGCTCCCTCTGTGTATGTGTGCATGCGTGTATATAACAAACAACGGCTAGTGGGGATCGAATGGTCCCCGGTTAAAATCTTTGTCGTGGACGCAAACCCTATTCACGACCGTTGTCGTGGTGATCTTGATGGGCTCTCGAAGCAAGTGGTCCCAGCCACAAAGAACTGTACATTCAATGGTTTGATGCCGACATTGTTAGATATCGTGTATCGCCATTTTTTGCCATACGTGATGAAAATGCCGATCATCCCTGCTTCCCTGAATAGATCCGACAAAACAGGTTTTATGTGCTTTGCTTGCGCTAGTTCGTGTCCCTTTTTCCATTTCGTCCTCGGTATAACTCCGACTGTTTATCTTACTTCTGTTGCAGGGATCCCGGTGATTTTGAACGAGACCGATCAGTCACATGAACCACCAATTCCTGAGCCTAAAGATCGTCCGGAACCTGTTCTAAAGACGGAATAATAGACTCGATCCTTTGTGGTATTGTGTCGCTCTTTCTCTCTCTCAGTCACAAACAGAAACACGCAATTGTGTTGCCCTTATCACGCTCTTGTCTGAAACTTACTACCAATACATGCTGTTACAATTATTACGGCCACCGACATCCATTTTTCGCCTCGCTGATTTGAACCTTTCGGTCTACTTATGAGGTGTGTCCACTTTCCGCACTCAAAACCAAAAACTCGAATTACAATTTGATTACATACATAGTGTGAGCTCTTTTCTGATCAGCGTTTGTTTTTACCGCGTTCCCGTGCAAAATCCACCACCTCATGTTCCCCTCACCCCCGCTGTCGGATGCAGACCTGATTTCGCCACTTGTACAGATGCAAACGTACCTGTTCATCCGTTCGTTCATATTTTGGTTCTTCGCGGGTTTTTGTCCCGCTGAGTCTATGCGTCAATTTCCGTTTGTCCTCTTCCTACATTTCCATCCGATACAAGACAGCTTCACGCCCGCGCGTTTCACAACTGCCTGCACATACCATATTTGTTCCATAAAAAACTTGTTGGATGCGCCGTCATGTGTGTTGAGCCAACCGGCACTTGCAATTGAGTGGCTGCTTATTGCCCATTCCAGATAACCAATTCATGGCTCACGGTTTGTTGTGTTGCATTGTCATCATTGTTAGATTTTATTTAGACTGTCGGTTAAAACGTTCTCGTTTTTATGGTGTCCGTGCTTCATTCTCATAACGACGAAAACTCGATAGTTTCTCGCTCCCCTGTCGGTTGAATTGTGACGATTCTGCTGATCTGACAGTATGGTTCGATCTCTTTGCACTCTCATCGTTGCTTCCAACTCCCCCGAGGAGTACAGTGGTTGAGGCAGAGAGGAATCGGACGTAGNTACGCACAATTTCACAATACGTCGTCCTTTCCCGGTCGCACTTTCTTCCATTCTGTTCTCATCTATCCTCGTAACCGACCACTTCATAGCTTTTGTTCTGATCAAACGTTATTTTTGCCTGAATTGGTGTTTGTTTCTCTCGTCTGTCCATCGCCCGTTTTTCTCTTTTTCTTCTGTTTTGGTTTGCTTTTCACGATCGATCAAACAAACAAAAGACAACGGAAAAAACAGCACATACTGATTTGATATGAACAGATCTCTGTTGCTGTTTTGACTACATGTGGGAATGATATTGATCACGTGGGCTGTTGATTATGCGTCCGCGCACTCCAGTCGAACTGGTACGGGGCTAAACGAAATGAGTTGTTGGTGACAGCACTGCCCTGCCCCGCGCAGTGCTGCTAGATGTAGTACGGTTGACATGAACGTCCATGTAGACACAGACAAGCGGTGCTCGGGTAGCACTTTGTACGCGTCCGAGTGGGACAACTGGGCGAGCAAGACTGAGTTCGAGGCTATCGCGGTCACATATCGAGGCCGATGCGTTATCTTCATGCATGGCCATGGTCGGTGCAGGTGTTACACCAGTCATCGTACAGACTCCCGAGGGCGACCGAACTCAAACCTAGCTTGAGGGCTCTCAGTCACATAGTTCCCAATAAACATCCGGGTTTGACACGTCGGAATCTACCTGATTAACGAGAAAAGACCTGTGTGATATGGCTGGATGACGGTGGCCCTCGTCCGTCTATTTACTTTTTACTCCGGTCTGTACATTTATTCTGATAGTGCTCTCAGATTTTTAACTGGGCAGTGAAAAGACAGTATTCAAAGTCGGCGCCCGAAACTTCAAGGTTGATCGATCCGAAGAGGTAGTGGGATGGGTGCTTCAGATGAATCATCATGCATAACTGAGTGCAATCAGGCATGTAAACTTGTTGGATTTCGGTGATGAATCATCGATTCATAACACGTTGTTTGGTAATTCACTTAATAAACTAGGCATTGGACAAGAACCTCGCACCCAGTAAGCGGCGTTGGGATCCTGCTTAACATCAAAATTCAGGTTGATACGGTCTACTGAAACTAGGTCATAATCAACCAGTGTGTGGGGATAGTGATGACGTATATTCCAAGGCCCGCTTGACTGAAACTTCACTCAAACTGATGCACTTAACCGATCGTACTTTTTGGCACTCATCTGCGTTGATAAAATTGGAAAGTTAATCCCCTTTGCTCTCCAGATAGTTGAGGGGAAGGAGCATGAGATGCACGTACATCAAAAAGCCACACTGTGCAGGAAGATTGGAATGTTGAGAACTGAGTCAAACGGAAGCAATAGACCGTCATGGTAACCTTAGGGTAACTTGCTTGATCAAATGAGCCGAACGAGGATTTCAGACCTTCACGGTCAGATTGCCATTGAAAGTAATTTTTTGGTCTACATACTTGCACGCTGATTTTCAATCATTATTCAAAATGAAAACGATAATTCAGTAAATGAATGCGAATATAGCTCCGTTGTGTGTAGTTCAAACATAAATCATGGTTATAAAGACCTCCCTCTCGCCATACGTGGTATATTTATATTTTACCCCGGCTTGAGAACAAGCATGGCGCCAATCCAAAACAATGATAACGAAGTAATGGAGGGGTACCGAAAGATTAAATGAAAATGGGAAAAATAGAGAAACCAGAACGAATGAATGATAGTTTCACAGTACACCTTTTGAAGATATTTTGGTGTTATGGGGAACGGGGTTTCGCCGCACGGAGAGGTCTCGCAGCCGTAAACCAGAACACTACGGACCGCGGCGGTGTACACCCTACCCTACCCAGTGGAATGTCACGGCTGCGCAGGTTGGCGAAAGCTGCTCTAGCTTTCGCTATTCGTGATGTGATCTCTTCCCCAACTGTGATTAAGCTCCCGAGGTACTTAAACCTCTCGACCATTTCCAGCTGATCACAGAGGGCGAGTGCAGGCACAAGCTCCTGCCAGTCCTGAACCAGCACTTTGTACTTTGATGGTGCAAAGCGCATACCGTACCTCCATCGCCAAGTGGTGTAAAGCTTGTTGAACGGCCTGTGCATTCTCACCCGACAAGGCGATGTCATCGGCATATCCTAAGTGAAGAATTCTGTTCCCTGGGAGGAGAACGACTCCGCGTTTGTCAAACCGGACATAGCGTCCTGCAGAACATCCTCTATGTTGAAGTTGAAAAGGAAAGGGGATATAGGGCAGCCTCGTCCCAAGGCTTCGATCTCAGACTCAGCGGAAATCCAGGGTGTCACGACACGGCGTGACAGACCACAACTGAGCCAGCAGAATGCACAGCATTCTTGATGAGCGACCGGTGCTCACCGACGTTATCAGGTGGGATTGGTTCTGGCTTCTCAGCTAGCGCGTTTTGAAAGACGGCTAACCATGCTGACTGAGACAACTTATTACAGTCTAACCGCCGCTGTCATGCATTTAGGACGCCCACCGAAGCGCATGGACAGTTTGGTGCAAACTAACACGTGATCGGATTCGAGGTTAGTGCTCCAGTACGATCGACAGTCTTGAATGCAACCTCGCCATTTGTGGCTTATAGCGATGTGGTCTATCTGCGTTTGTCGCTGAATCGAGGAGGGTGGACGCCAAGAGGCGCATCAGCAGTTGGTGTGTCTGAAGTTCGTACTGGCGAGGAAAAGGCGATGGTCAAAACATAGAGCGAGCAGCCGTTTTCCGAGCGACAGGAATCTAGTCCGAAAGGACCACCCAGATGTGCTTCATTCGAAGTCAGTCGGCCTACTCTAGCATTCATATCTCCTGCGTAAATCACGATATCAGCCCGATTTGCCTTGTGCAAGAGGTCGTGTAGCTTTTGGTAGAAAGTATTTTTAACCGTATCTCGACTACAGTTCGTAGGTGCATACGCTGAGACGACAAACAAGTCGCGTCTTTCGGGGTGACGACTATTTACTTTGCACAATCCTCTAAGTTCAACTGCGTATAACCTAATGTCGACTGGGATCCAATCCAGGAGCGCGGTTTCAGCTCTGTCACTGAGAGCCACGCCAACGCCAGCAAGACCAGAAGCCGGAGTCTCAGGGTCCTCAGAAAGAGGCAGGTGTAAATTTGGGAATGGGTTTGACGGGAACGTCAATCGGATGGTGGAGCTAGAGTATTGAATGCGAGTCTCTTGGATACAACACACATCGATGGCTAGGGTCTCGAGGGTATGAGCTAAACGCGCCTGTTGTTCTATAAGCATCAAGGTACGCACGTTAAATATGGCTAGTTTGAATTGGCATCGAGGACAAAGAAGAGCTTCAACTGGTGGAGAAAGATTCGGTGAGGCTTGGACGCTATTCGACGGACGGAATTTTCATCGGAGGCACAACTGGTAGTACGATTGTCTGAATATCTTGATAATACTGGGAACGTTCGAGGGGGTGAATGTGAGATGGAG